AGCATCTGCACGGCTGGCGGCTTGACCTGGGAGGGTCCATAGGCGATGACGTACAACAGATCCTGCCAGAAATATTTATGGTACATTAGAGCAGGGGTCATGCCAGCTGTGACATATACAGTGAAGGAAATGTGTATTCGCTCCCCTGATGGTGAATGTTCGCCCCCTCACACAGAAATGATCGGTCTAACAATGGAATGTTCGCCCCTCACACAGAAACGATCGGTCTAACAATGGAATGTTCGCCCCTCACACAGAAATGATCGGTCTAACAATGGAATGTTCACCCCTCACACAGAAATGATCGGTCTAACAATGGAATGTTCGCCCCTCACACAGAAACGATCGGTCTAACAATGGAATGTTCGGTGTAACACTGAGAGACAGAATACAACAACAAATTCAGCAGAAATGCGTCTAACAAATGACTGATCTGCATGTTCATGAGGGAAAGAAGGATTTGATCCCCTATCATTCAGCAGGATTTCTGGCTCCCAGGTGTCTCTCATACAGGTAACAAGCTGAGATTAGAAGCAGTCTCTTAAAGGGAGTGCTGCTAATCTCATTGTGTTACCTGTATAAAAAAGACATCTGTCCACAGGAGCCATCAAACCATCAGATTCCAAACTCTCCACCATGGCAAAGACCAAAGAGCTGTCCAAGGATGTCAGGGACAAGATGGTAGACCTACACAAGGCTGGACTGGGCTACCAAACTATGGCCAAGCAGCTTGGTGAGAAGGTGACAACAGTTGGTGCAATCATTCACAAATGGAAGAAACACAAAACAAGTGTCAGTCTCCCTAGGTCTGGTGCACCATGCAAGATCTCACCTCGTGGAGTGTCAATGATCATGAGAACAGCGAGGAATCATCCCAGAACTACACGTGAGGATCTTGTCAATGATCTCCAGGCAGCTGGGACCACAGTCACCAAGAAAACAATTGGTAACACACTACGCCGACAAGGACTGAAATCCTGCAGTGCCCGCAAGGTCCCTCTGCTCAAGAAGCCCATGTCCAGGCCCGTCTGAAGTCTGCCACTGAACATCTGAATGATGCAGAGGAGGACTGGTGGGAAGTGTTGTGGTCAGAGGAGACCAAAATCCAGCTCTTTGGCATCAACTCAACTCGCCGTGTTTGGAGGAGGAGGAATGCTGCCTATGACCCCAAGAACACCAACCCAACTGTGAAACATGGTAGAGGAAACATTCTGCTTTGGGGTGTGTTTATCTGCTAAGGGGACAGGACAACTGCACCGCATCAAAGGGACAATGGACGGGGCAATGTACCCTCAAATCTTGGGTGAGAACCTTCTTCCCTCAGCCAGGGCATTGAAAATGGGTGGTGGATGGGTGTTCCAGCATGACAATGACCCAAAACACACGGCCAAGGCAACAAAGGAGCGGCTCAAGAAGAAGCACATTAAGGTCCTGGAGTGGCCTAGCCAGTCTCCACACCTTCATCCGATTGAAAATCTGTGGAGGGAGCTGAAAGTTCGAGTTGCCAAACGTCAGCCACCGAACCTTAATGACTTTGAGAGGATCTGCCAAGAGGAGTGGGCCAATATCCCTCCTGAGATGTGTGCGAACCTGGGGGCCAACTCCAGGAAACGCCTGACCTCTGTGATGGCCAACAAGGGATTGGCCACCAAGTACTAAGTCATGTTTTGTGAAGGGGATCCAATCCTTCTTTCCCTCATGAACATGCAGATCCGTCATCATTTGTTAGACGCATTTCTGCTGAATTTGTTGTTGTATTCTGTCTCTCAGTGTTACACCGAACATTCCATTGTTAGACCGATCATTTCTGTGTGAGGGGGCGACCATTCCATTGTTAGACCGATCATTTCTGTGTGAGGGGCGAACATTCCATTGTTAGACCGATCATTTCTGTGTGAGGGGCGAACATTCCATTGTTAGACCGATCATTTCTGTGTGAGGGGCGAACATTCCATTGTTAGACCGATCGTTTCTGTGTGAGGGTGAACATTCAGCATCAGCAGGGGAGCAAATACGCATTTCCTGCACTGTATGTATGTGTATATACTATATATATATAATATATATATATATATATATAATATATATATATATATATATATATATATATATATATATACAGTCAGGTCCATAAATATTGGGACATCAACACAATTCTAACATTTTTGGCTCTATACACCACAATGGATTTGAAATGAAAAGAACAAGATGTGCTTTAACTGCAGACTGTCAGCTTTAATTTGAGGGTATTTACATCCAAATCAGGTGAACGGTGTAGGAATTACAACAGTTTGCATATGTGCCTCCCACTTGTTAAGGGACCAAAAGTAATGGGACAATTGGCTTCTCAGCTGTTCCATGGCCAGGTGTGTGTTATTCCCTCATTATCCCAATTACAATGAGCAGATAAAAGGTCCAGAGTTCATGTCAAGTGTGCTATTTGCATCTGGAATCTGTTGCTGTCAGCTCTCAAGATGAGATCCGAAGAGCTGTCACTATCAGTGAAGCCATCATTAGGCTGAAAAAAACAAAACAAACCCATCAGAGAGATAGCAAAAACATAAGGCGGCCAAAACAAACTTTTTGGAACATTCTTAAAAAAGAAGGAACGCACCGGTGAGATCAGCAACACCAAAAGACCCGGAAGACCACGGAAAACAACTGTGGTGGATGAGAGAAGAATTCTTTCCCTGGTGAAGAAAACACCCTTCACAACAGTTGGCCAGATCAAGAACACTCTCCAGGAGGTAGGTGTATGTGTGTCAAAGTCACCAATCAAGAGAAGACTTCACCAGAGTGAATACAGAGGGTTCACCACAAGATGGAAACCATTGGTGAGCCTCAAACACAGGAAGGCCAGATTAGAGTTTTGCCAAACGACATGTAAAAAAGCCTTCACAGTTCTGGGAACAACATCCTATGGACAGATGAGACCGACATCAACTTGTACCAGAGTGATGGGAAGAGAAGAGGATGGAGAAGGAACTGCTCATGGTCCTCAGCATACCACCTCATCAGTGATCATGGTGGTGGTAGTGTCATGGCGTGGGCATGTATGGCTGGCCAATGGATGCCAATGGAACTGCTTCTCTTGTATTTATTGATGATGTGACTGCTGACAGAAGCAGCCGGATGAATTCTGAAGTGTTTCGGGAATATTATCGGCTCATATTCAGCCAAATGCTTCACAACTCATTGGACGCTTCACAGTGCAGATGGACAATGACCCAAAGCAGACTGCAAAAGACACCAAAGAAGTGGAATGTTCTGCAATGGCCAATCACCTGACCTGAATCCGATTGAGCATTTTCACTTGCTGAAGACAAAACTGAAGGGAAAATGCCCCAAGAACAAGCAGAACTGAAGACAGTTGCAGTAAAGGCCTGGCAGAGCATCACCAGGGATGACACCCAGCGTCTGGTGATGTCTATGCGTTCCACACTTCAGGCTGTCATTGACTGCAAAGGATTTGCAACCAAGTATTAAAAAGTGAAAGTTTGATTTATGATTATTATTCTGTCCCATTACTTTTGGTCCCTTAACAAGTGGGAGGCACATAGGCAAACTGTTGTAATTCCTACACCGTTCACCTGATTTGGATGTAAATACCCTCACAAATTAAAGCTGACAGTCTGCAGTTAAAGCACATCTTGTTTGTTTCATTTCAAATCCATTGTGGTGTATAGAGCCAAAAATGTTAGAATTGTGTCCATGTCCCAATATTTATGGACCTGACTGTATATATATAATATATATATATATATATATATATATATAATATATATATATATATCACACACATACAACAGTACATTTATATATATAATTTATATATATTTATATATATATATATATATACATACATGCATACATATTGTATAGGATGTTTGGGGGTTACAAGGAATTGTCTAGCAAAAAATACTGATTGTCCCCAGAACGTGCCGGTAAACGCTTGGTTTTGGAGTGGGAAAGGAAACACGCTTTTTTTTTTTAGTTCTAAAACATAATAAAGGAATAGAAGAAGGCCACGCCCCCAATATCATGGACTTACTTTCCACACTTCCTGCTTGTACTTCATGAGACACTCCAGGAGCTGACAGTGATAGACTGGAAGACAACAATCACCGGACACATGAGTGGAGAATGTTCAGAACTACGACTCTCCCCCCCCCCCCCCCCCCCCCCCATGTACAAAGGACAATAATGACCATTGTTACAATCCCACTTCTAGTATTACTGCTACAACATTCACATCTCAATATAATATAAAGAAAACCTAAACTGAGATACAGGAGCCGCCATTGCCGTCTGAAAATACCGGGTGCCTGGCTGTCTCTGGGGACCTGCATCAGATATACGTATCTAAGTGCAGCATGCTCAGCAATGCACCCGTGTGATTCATGACCCCCTCCCCCATGGCTCCACTGGCATCAAGTGTATTAAAAAGTCTTGGGCTCCAAGTTCTACAGCCCGAGACAGCCATGCAACTAGCATTGTCTAGAAGGGGGGCGACTGACATCCTCCATGTGTCTCAGTTCAGGTTCACTGGACATTAAAGCCCATTAAGCTCGAAAACTTCAAAAAAACATTTAGATGTCTTCCTCGGGAAGCAGAATATAGGGCCAGGGCCAGGAACGTGCTGGGATGCTGGCTGGGGTTTATTCATGCTGGCTGCTGGGGGATCTATTGTTACTGGTGGGGGATGTGTTGTTACTGGGCGATCAATTATTGCTGAAGGGGTCCACTGTTGAGGGAGGGAAGGGGGTCCACTGTTGAGGGAGGGAAGGGGTCCACTGTTGAGGGAGGGAAGGGGTCCACTGCTGGAGGAGGGAAAGGAGTCCACTGCTGACTGTTGAGGGAGGGAGAGAAGGGATCCACTGTTGAGGGAGGGAGAGAAGGGATCCACTGTTGAGGGAGGGAAGGGATCCACTGTTGAGGGAGGGAAGGGGTCCACTGTTGAGGGAGGGAAGGGGTCCACTGTTGAGGGAGGGAAGGGGTCCACTGTTGAGGGAGGGAAGGGGTCCACTGCTGAGGGAGGGAAGGGGGTCCACTGCTGAGGGAGGGAAGGGGTCCACTGTTGAGGGAGGGAAGGGGTCCACTGCTGAGGGAGGGAAGGGGTCCACTGCTGAGGGAGGGAAGGGGTCCACTGTTGAGGGAGGGAAGGGGTCCACTGTTGAGGGAGGGAAGGGGTCCACTGTTGAGGGAGGGAAGGGGTCCACTGTTGAGGGAGGGAAGGGGTCCACTGCTGAGGGAGGGATTGGGTTCATTGTTGAGGGAGGGAAGGGGTCTACTGTTGAGGGAGGGAGGGAGGGAAGGGATCCACTGCTGAGGGAGGGAAGGGGTCCACTGCTGAGGGAGGGAAGGGATCCACTGTTGAGGGAGGGAAGGGGTCCACTGGTAAGGGAGGGAAGGGGTCCACTGGTAAGGGAGGGAAGGGGTCCACTGGTGAGGGAGGGAAGAGATCCACTGTTGAGGGAAATTAATCAGCACCACAAAATACTTGACACTGTATTCTCTAAAAGGAGCGGCACTGGAAGGTGGGTGGGGGGGACCAATGGATGATGCTCGGAGGTGGGTAAGGGGGGCAGAGCCAAGAAGTGACTCATAAAGGGGAGGGTTCCTGCACCTATTCTTTGAGAAAAAAAAGCCCTGTACAGGGCTATGGGAATTGTTAGTGAATACAAAACACACAGAAGTTGGACTGGATGGACCCTCTAGGTAAATTTTTTAATTTTTTTTTAATTTTTGGTACAGTAAGGGAAGGTTATAACCCCTTTTTTGCCATCTGTGTCCCATTGGGGAGATTTCCCTTCACCTCCCGTCCCATAGCCACAACAGGAAGTGAGAAAATCTCTGCAAATTAAGGGAATTCATTGGGGACTTCCAAGTCACCAGCACCAAAGATTTCCCCTCTATTACTTTTCTGGGGACAACCCAAAATTTGGGATTTTCTTTTACTTTTACTTAGAATGATATCGGTAAACAGGACAAATAAGGAGGGTGCATCTCCCTAACGGGGCCACAGACAGCAATAACAACGGGCAGGGGGTCTAATCCCCTCCACTCCATCCAACACTAATAAAAAAACGTTTTGCCTTTATTTGTACTTTAAAAAATATGTAAATGTATAGAAAATGCCCCAAACCAAGCATGGCTTACCAATATCTCTACCAACATACAAACCTGGGTTGGAGGTGTACTGCATTGCAATCATAAGCATTGATGAGGCGGAGAGGTTAACATGTTGTGGAACATTCCCTTCTCTTCCTCTGGAGCCTATGGAAACAGAACCAATTGGGTCAGAGACAAATTCTGCATCGTCATCATCACCACCATCTCCACCATCATTAACACCACCATCTCCACCATCATCACCACCAACACTACCACCACCACCATCAGCAGCCTTATCACCACCACCATCAGCAGCCTTATCACCACCACCTCCGATATTACTATCATCATCATCACCACCTTCATTACCATCATTAACACCACCATCTCCACCATCATCAACACCAACACTACCACTACACAACCACCATCAGCAGCCTTACCACCACCTCCGCTATTACTATCATCATCACCACCACCACCTTCATCACCATCATCACCACTCCATCATCATTATTATTATCACCATTGTCATCCTTACTATCTTTACCACCATCACCACCACCATTGTCATCATCACCATCACAACCTCCACTACCATCATCATCACTATGACCACCACCATCTTCATCATCACCACCTCCACCATTATCATCATCGCTACCACCATTATCATCATTGCCACCTCCACCCCCACCATTATCGTCTTCACCATCATCATCACCATCTTGTTATTCATCACCACCATTATCAACAGTGCTACCACCACTACCATCATCCCCACCATCCATCTCCACCATCATCATCATCGCACTCTCCACCACCACCATTGTCATCATCACTACCACAATTATCATCATCACTACCTCCATCTCCACCATCATCATCATCATCGCACCCTCCACCACCACCACTATCATCATCATCGCCCCCTCCACCATCAATCATCATCATCACCGCCTTCACCATCACCATTATCATCATCGCTACCAACAATTATCATCATCACTACCTCCATCTCCACCATCATTATAATCGCACCCTCCACCACCACCATATATCATCATCATCGCCACCTTCACCACCATTATCATCTTCACCACCATCATCACCATCTTGTTATTCATCACCATCACTACCATTATCAACATCACCACATCCTCCATTATCATTATTGCCACCACAATTGTCATCATCACCACCTCCACAATCATCATCACCATCTTGTTTTTCATCACCATCACCACCATTATCATCATCACAACCAATGCCATCATCATTATCATCATCATTGCCACTTCCACCACCATCATTATCATCATCACCAACTCCATCACTGTCATTATTATCATCACCACCTCACACCAACCATCATCATCATCATCACAACCATTTTCCACCACCACCATCATTATTACCATTACTACCACCATCACCATCATAATCATTGATACCATTACCACCACCATCATCACTACTATCTTTACCACCACCACCATTGTCATCATTACGATCACCACCATTATAATCATCATCATCATTACCACCACCATCATCATATAATCATCACTACTACCTTTACCACCACCGCCATTATAATCATCATTACCATCACCACTTTTACCAACATGATTATCATCATTATTGCCACCCCCTCCACCATCATTATCATCTTCACCAACTCCATCACTTTCATTATTATAATAACCACCTCCACCATCACAATCATTTCCACCACCACCATTATCACCATCACCACCATCATCATAATCATCTCTACTATCTTTACCACCATCATCATCACTACTATCTTTACCACCACCACCACTGTCATCATCACGATCAGCACCATTATAATCATCATCACCACCACCACCATCATTATTATTTACATGACACCAGTGATGTAGTATAGGAGGTGCTATGCAGCTTTCTGGCATCAACATGTGGATGCCTCCAGTCCCAATACATCGCAGGTTCTTTATATCCAGGGGGGGCATTAGAATGCCGGTTGTATTGAGTGGGTGTTGGTTTATATCATTAGCATTTGTTTTAGTGCCACTTGTGACCATACAAATGTTTTACAAGCGTTTGGTTTGATGCCGGATGTTTTGCCGTGAGCCACACAAGCAGGAAATGACATTTCTGGGGGGCGTTCTGTATACATCGGTATACATAACAGCTCCAGGCAGCCATATTGCATTTTACATTCAATTACAGCAGCTGCAGATTGGAAAGGAAAGGTCGTTTTTAATAACATTCAATCACAACCTGACTTGTGTAGCAATTCATTATAGTTACAGTGAAGGAAATGTGTATTTGCCCCCCGGCTGATGTTAAATGTTCGCCCCTCACACAGAAATGATCGGTCTAACAATGGAATGTTCCCCCTCACACAGAAATGATCGGTCTAACAATGGAATGTTCGCCCCTCACACAGAAATGATCGGTCTAACAATGGAATGTTCGCTGTAACACTGAGAGACAGAATACAACAACAAATTCAGCAGAAATGCGTCTAACAAATGATGACTGATCTGCATGTTCATGAGGGAAAGAAGGATTTGATCCCCTTCACAAAACATGACTTAGTACTTGGTGGCCAATCCCTTGCTGGCAATCACAGAGGTCAGGCGTTTCCTGGAGTTGGCCCCCAGGTTCGCACACATCTCAGGAAGGATTTTGGCCCACTCCTCTTGGCAGATCCTCTCCAAGTCATTAAGGTTTGGTGGCTGACGTTTGGCAACTCGAACTTTCAGCTCCCTCCACAGATTTCCAATCGGATGAAGGTCTGGAGACTGGCTAGGCCACTCCAGGATCTTAACGTGCTTCTTCTTGAGCCGCTCCTTTGTTGCCTTGGCCGTGTGTTTTGGGTCATTGTCATGCTGGAACACCCATCCACCACCCATTTTCAATGCCCTGGCTGAGGGAAGAAGGTTCTTACCCAAGATTTGAGGGTACATTGCCCCGTCCATCGTCCCTTTGATGCGGTGCAGTTGTCCTGTCCCCTTAACAGAAAAACACCCCCAAAGCAGAATGTTTCCACCACCATGTTTCACAGTTGGGATGGTGATCTTGGGGTCATAGGCAGCATTCCTCCTCCTCCAAACACGGCGAGTTGCGTTGATGCCAAAGAGCTGGATTTTGGTCTCCTCTGACCACAACACTTCCCACCAGTCCTCCTCTGCATCATTCAGATGTTCAGTGGCAGACTTCAGACAGGCCTGGACATGGGCTTTCTTGAGCAGAGGGACCTTGCGGGCACTGCAGGACGCTCCATGAGGTGAGATCTTGCATGGTGCACCAGACCTAGGGAGACTGACACTTGTTTTGTGTTTCTTCCATTTGTGAATGATTGCACCAACCGTTGTCACCTTCTCACCAAGCTGCTTGGCCATAGTTTGGTAGCCCAGTCCAGCCTTGTGTAGGTCTACCATCTTGTCCCTGACATCCTTGGACAGCTCTTTGCTCTTTGCCATGGTGGAGAGTTTGGAATCTGATGGTTTGATGGCTCCTGTGGACAGGTGTCTTTTATACAGATAACACAATGAGATTAGCAGCACTCCCTTTAAGAGACTGCTTCTAATCTCAGCTTGTTACCTGTATGAAAGACACCTGGTAGCCAGAAATCCTGCTGAATGATAGGGGATCAAATCCTTCTTTCCCTCATGAACATGCAGATCCGTCATCATTTGTTAGACGCATTTCTGCTGAATTTGTTGTTGTATTCTGTCTCTCAGTGTTACACCGAACATTCGATTTTTAGACCGATCATTTCTGTGTGAGGGGCGAACATTCCATTGTTAGACCGATCGTTTCTGTGTGAGGGGCGAACATTCACCATCAGCAGGGGAGCAAATACACATTTCCCTCACTGTATGTTATTTTTGTTGTTGCTGCTATATTGTTTTTTCTAGAAAAGTGGAGTTATCCTTTATACAAAATGATCAAAATACAAGAAAAAGAGGCTTTGTAGAGACAATAGAGAGGAGAGATAAAACGAGGCGACTTACAGATGGCCATGGGCAGGAAGGACGTACTGAGATACTCGGTGATGTCCTTGTGCAGGAAGGGAGGGAATGTGGCCAATGTGGAGATCATGGTGTACGGCAAGGTGCTCAGTATATCGTCACTCAGAAACGGTAACAGGCAAGCGGTTGTATAAAATATCGATTGTCCCAAGTCTGGAAACATGAACAGGAAAAGTTTAGCCAAACACAGAGAACACAAATCATAGCATAAGGAAAGGCAATGTAGACTACCGCCTATAGTAGACCATCGGGGTCATTCCCAGCAGGGGAGTGGTTGCTGGTCTATAATAAGCCAATGATGTCAATGAAGAGGGCCCTTTCCTTCTTTTAATTGGTCAATGTAGTTGGGGAATGAGGAGACAGATGATGACTTTGTCTGGCCTTAAAGGACCAACTAAAGAGGGATTCCAGTCAACCATGAAAGCAATCAATGGGGCTTCTAGTGCTTTCCTGTAAACCCTGCAACTGTGTAGGAGGGTGTTCCAGCAACACCAGCAGAGGAGTTCCAGGATTGCCAGATCACCAACAAATGGGAGTCTAGCGGACCAGTGAACCACATCGACTCCTGCATGAAAAAACAAAGTACTCAGCAGGTTGACGGTACTCTCTCCATATTTAGTCTTGAATCGGAACCAGGGCCGGAGCCAGCATAATGGCAGCTACTTTAGGGCGCCAGTTTAGGGGGGCAGCAAAATCCAAACCCTCAGCCCCTTGGGGAATGGGGGGTGGTTAGCAGTACCAGCACATGGTGGCTGGAGGGTGGGGGGTGGGCTATCAGTATTAGCGTGGGGTGGCAGTAGAATGGTGGTTGGGTGGTGGGCTTGGGAGTACCAGTATGAGATGGCTGGAGGATGGGGAAGTACAGCAGTACCAGCATGGGGTGGCTGGAGGATGGGGTGGTATATCAGTACCAGTGTGGAGTGGCTGCAGGATGGGGGGGTTGGGGGGTGGGGTGGGGAGGTGCAGCAGTAACAGTGTGGGGTGGCTGGAAGAGGGGGGGGGGGGGGACATCAGTACCAGCATGGGGTGGCTGGAGGATGAGGGGGTGGGGAAGTACAGCTGTACCAGCAAGGTATGGCTGGAGGCCAGGCGGGGGGGGTACAGTAGTACCAGTGTGGGGTGGCATGAAGCAGGGGGTATATGAGGAGGGGTGGGCTAGCAGTACCAGCATGGAGTGGCTGGTAGACAGGTGGGCTAGCAGTACCGGCATGGGGTGGCTGAAGGACGGGGGGGGGGGGGTTTACAGCAGGACCAGTTGGGGTAGCTGGAGGACAGGGGGGTACCAAAATGAACCTTCACCTATATAGACGAAAATCCCAATGCCGGCCCTAATTAGAACTTTAGAGGTAGCACAGTGGCTAAATGGTTAGCACTCCCCCCTGGCAGGACTCGGGTCCTTGGTTCAAATCCCAACCACGGCACCACCTGCCTGGAGTTGGCATGTTCTCCCTGTGCCTGCTTGGGTTTCCTCCAGGTACTCCGGTTTACTCCAAAGACATGCTGGGAGGTTAACTGGATCCTGTCTAAATTGGTCCTAGTATGTGTATGTATGAATGTGAGTTAGGGACCTTAGATTGTACGCCCCTCGGGGGCGGGGCCTGATGTGAATGTACAATATATGAAAGGCGCTGCGTAAATTGACGGCGCTATATAAGTACCTGAAATAAATAATAAATAGAACAAGAAGGGTTAGAAACTTTTTCAGGTTTTTGTTTCTCTGCACATCCATAGTGGGGACATTTCCCGTCTTGGTGACCATTGTTCCCAGCAAACAAACTGCTGGAGAATCCAAACTATTACAGATGTCATCAAGAAGACAGGATAAATCTTCCAATGTTTTGGTGACAACAATCTCAAGAGGGAATTTCCCTCACCATGTTCGTTTCTGAGACAGCGAGGGGAAATCATTAAGAAGACACATGGAGAAATAAAAACCTGACAGAAGATCTAGCCCTTCCTGGACAACTGGAAAAGTTCTGACTGCAGTTCTACTTTGATTTTAAATTTTGTCTGGAATGTGCCCTCAGATTTTGAGTCTTGGTGGCCACATTCAGGAGGATTATGAGTTCCTAGGAAGCAATACTAGGTGCTTCTGGCACTGGAAAGCCCTTGTTTGACTCTTCCATCTTCTATGCAAAGTAAAATACAATGTAGTGGAGAGGATTGCATTGGTTCCCAGGGTTCCGATGAGGATTGTGGTGATCCTTGCGCTCAGACAAAGATTGTGGTGGATCCCAGTGCTCCAAAGATGATTGTGGTAGGTTCCAATTCAAAGAGTAGGATAGTGTTGGGTCCCAGGGCTTCGATAAGGACCATAATAGGTTCCAGTGCTCCAAAGATGATTGTGGCGGGTTCCAATGCAAAGAGTAGGATAGTGTTGGGTCCCAGGACTTCGATGAGGACCATAATGGGTTCCAGTGCACCAATGAAGATTGTGGTGGATCCTTGTGCTCCAAAAATGATTTTGGAGGATTCCGTTGCTTCAAAGAGGATCATGGTTGGGCCCCGATGTTCTCGAGGATCACATTGAGTACCTATACTCCAAACAGCATCAGCACGGGTCCCAATGCTCTGAGGATTGTGCTGAATTGGTGCTTTGAAGAGGATCATGGTTGGTTCCAGTGCTCCACAGAGAATCACATTGGGTTCCACAGTGGGTTCCAAACAGAATTGCTTGGTTTTTGTGCTTCAAAGTGGATTGTGGTGGATCTCAGTGCTTTGACAAGGATTGAGTTGCAGAGATCCAAAGAGGTTCATGGTTGGTCCAAGTGCTCTGAATTGGATTACTGTGGATAAAAGTGCTCCAAAGAAGATCTTGGTGGATTCCAGTGCTTTGAAAAAGATCAAGGTGGATCCCAGTTCTCCAATGATGTTGGATGCCAGTGCTCTAAGGAGGACTGTGATGGATCCAGTGCCAGTACAAAGTCACCTACAGCCCAGGGTGAACATGCCAAACTGTGCCCCCCCCCCCCAAGATGTATGAGCATTATGTGTCAGCAAAAAAGCAAGCACTATCTGCATGCTTAACCTCAATCTTTGCCCCCCTCCCTGCCAGCTCAAATCCACTCTCCACATATGCCCCCCAGCATAAATTAGGCTGGAGTGTGGCAGGGTCTTTGCTTTGCTCCATAACCCTGATAGAGACATCTTCTACCACCCCAAGTCCAGGTGTTCTGTAACTTGGAATTCTTCATACAACTCCATGTTGAATGTCTTCTTCATCTATTCTCATAGGGAATCCATTAAGGAACTGGGAGATAGAACTGGAAACGGCATTGCAGTGGGATCTGAAGCCGGAGCTGGTGGAACTCGTCATGCCGGGAGGTTTCCCCTCTTGTGTGAACCCAGACTTGTTCTAGCAACTTTGAGCCCGAGTTCACACAAGAGCAATGCGGGAATGGGAAGGGGGTCCAGTGGATGGCTGGAACTGCTGGGGGTAGAGAGTAACTGGGGGGGGGAGAGCCATTGGAGAGGCGGGAGGAGCCCAAGTCGCAGCTACTGACGTCCAAAGTGGGATTTGAAGTCGGAGCTGGTGGAACTTGTCATGAAGGAAGGTTTCCCACATGGCTCTTGTGTGAAACCAGACTTGTCATAGCAACTTTGGGTGAATGGGTTCAAATCGCACTGTAAAGAATTGCATGCGGTTTGAACAGGAATGCAGTGCAATTCCTGTCCGATTGGCATGCGGTTTCCCGCACAAGTCGTGTGAGCCTTGGCTTGTCATAGTGACTTTAAACCCGAGTTCACACAAGAGTGGTGCGGGAATGAGAAGGGGGTCCAGTGGATGCCTGGAACTGATGGGGGTAGAGAGCAACTGGGGGGGAGAGAGAGCCATTGGAGAGGCAGAAGGAGCCCAAGTCGCAGCTACTGATGTCCACAGTGGGATCTGAAGCCGGAGCTGGTGGAACTCGTCATGCAAGAAGTTTTCCCGCACCGCTCGTAAGTGAACTCAGACTTGTCATAGCGACTTTGAACCCGACTTCACACAAAAGCGGTGCAGGAAATTTCCCGATCCCACTGTGGACATCAGTGGCTGTGGCTTGGGCTCCTCCTGCTTCTTCCATGGCTCTCTCCCTCCCAGCGGCTCCAGGCATCCACTGGACCCCCTCCCTATTCCCGCATCGCTCTTGTGTGAACTCGGGCACAAAGTCACTATGACAAGTCTGGGTTCACACAAGAGCAGTGCAGGAAACCTCCATGCATGATGGGTTCCACCAGTTCCGGCTCCCGATCCCACTGTGGACATCAGTGGCTGCGGCCTGGGCTCCTCCTGCCTCTTCCATGGCTCTCTCCCCCCCCCCAGCAGCTCTCTCCCCCCAGTGGCTCCAGCCATCCACTGGACCCCCTCCCTATTCCCGCATCGCTCTTCTGTGAACTCAGGTTCCACCAGCTCCGGCTCCCAATCCCATTGTGGACATCAGTGGCTGCGGCTTGGGCTCCTCCTGCCTCTTCCATGGCTCTCTCCCCCCCCCCCCACCAGCTCCAGCCATCCACTGGACCCCCTCCTCATTCCCGCACCACTCTTGTGTGAACTGAGGCTCAAAGTTGCTATGACAAGTCTGGGTTCACACAAGAGCTGTGCGGGAAACGTTTCTGCATGACAGATTCCACCAGCTCCGGCTTCAGCTCCCACTGTGGACGCCAGTATCTGTGGCTTGGGCTCCTCCTGCCTCTCCAATGGCTCTCACCCCCTCAGCGGCTCTCTACAACCAGCAGTTCCAGCAATCCACTGGACCCCCTCCCCATTCACGCATCGCTCTTCTGTGAACTCACGTTCCACCAGCTCCGGCTCCCAATCCCACTGTGGACATCAGTGGCTGCAGCTTGGGCTCCTCCTGCCTCTTCCATGGCTCTCTCCCCCCCAGCAGCTCTCTCCCCCCCAGCGGCTCCAGCCATCCACTGGACCCCCTCCCCATTCGCGCATCGCTCTTCTGTGAACTCAGGTTCCACCAGCTCCGACTCCCAATCCCACTGTGGAGATCAGTGGCTGCAGCTTGGGCTCCTCCTGCCTCTTCCATGGCTCTCTCTCCCCCCCAGCAGCTCCAGCCATCCACTGGACCCCCTCCTCATTCCTGCACCACTCTTGTGTGAACTGAAGCTCAAAGTTGCTATGACAAGTCTGGGTTCACACAAGAGCGGTGCAGGAAACATTT